AGAATATCCTTCTCTATCAATTCGAAAAACTAATTTAACCTTTTAAAATGAATATCTAACACGGCCGCTAAAAGTCAAATTGTATAAGACATATATTTCATACTTTCTAGCATTCACTAAGAAAATTGCACAAACAGTTTTTTCCCTTCATTTCCACCCTTTACACTTTTTTCATCATTACTAAAGCTAACTATGAAATTCTTTCATCCAGTCAGACAAGCCTTACGTAAATCAAAAGAACAAAAAAAATAAAAAATGGGCTGTGAAATGTCAAATGACTCGTAGCAAATTCATGCATGGGATTGGCCGTGAGGAAGAATTAGGATCCCCTCATGCATTTTTTTCTTGCATTTTTTACTTGCAAGCTTATTAGGCCCACTTTTAGGCTAATTTTGATAATATGAACCGTTCATATTTTAAGATTTATTCAGTATATCATCTGTAAAAATCAAGTGATTGGATATCAGAAAACATGTGTTCGGAAAAACTCGAACTAAAAAACTATTTTTTTAAAAAAATTTAATAAAACAGTTTTCCAACATACTGTAATACATCACTGATACATTTACTTGTAATATCCGATCACTTGATTTTTTACAGGTATGATATACTGAACAATCTTAAAATATGAACGTTAGAAATTATCAAAATTAAGCCTAAAAGTAGCCCAATAGCTTGCAGTAAGAATGTAAGGAGGAAATGGAAGGGGGATCTTGATTCAGTGAGGAGTGACAGCATTTCCAAACAACTTTATTGGTTATGTTTGGCTTTTTTTTTTTTTTTTTTTGTTATTTAGTCAAAAAATATAAAAATAAGTTAAAAAATTAATAAGACAAAGTCACATCCAACCATAATCATTCTATTTTTTCTTTCAAAATAAAAATACTCAAAAATTTTCCCAAATTTACTTTTACTCTCAGATTAAAATATTTAAAAATATAAAAAATAAAAAATCAACTCACTTCCAACGAAAGCTGAGTCAGCTTTAGGTGACTAAAAGCATAATATTTTATACAAAAAGTATATTCTCTGAAAAAAAAAAAAAATCAGAAAACATATCGAAATTTTAAATCTAAAGTGCATATAAACTTGGTGTATGGCCATATTATAAATAAATCTATACATTACATTTTAAATTATGAATAATTTTTTTATTTCGGTTTTTAATATGCAGACTTGCTTTATTTGAAAACCCATTAAAAAACAAAAAACAAGAATAAGCATGGTTTAAAATCCGCCGCCATTGAAAAGTCAATTATTCATTTTATAATTTTAATTGCTTCATAAACATTTTAAAATGCCATCAAGCCACAAAATCACGATTGGAAAATCAACTCAAATCTTTTTGATGGCATTGAAATCATAATTTTGTTGGATTGTATTGCTGTTGGCTTTTGGCTTCGAAGGTTTATTTTTTTAATTATGAGCGTCGCAGCAAGATAATCGTCCTTCCAGAATTGTGATTGCCAACCAATATATTCAGACGGATTGGTATGGTTCTTTCAGCTCAATGAAAAGACTTTTACTGGTGGCTTACTGGTAGCCTTGGACCTTAAGAGAATTTAAGTATAAAAAGTTAAATAATATTGAGCCCATTTTCATTAGTAAGAAAAACTTACACACGGATCTCAGTCTCGTAGAGATTTTACAGCGCATATACTTCGAAAACTACTCCTACAATGAAGGTGCAGTGCAGGAATTTAAATTACAGAAATGTAAAGAACCAGGAAGAGAATAAAACGGAATACATTAAAGTAAGATTGGTTTTCTTGTGATTTTTTGCCTCCCCCTTCTCTGAATCCTTCCTGTTAATTTATTACTCTCCAAAAATAACCATCGAACTCACTTTCAAACATCGAAAAAACTGTTCCTCCGTGACTGCTGAATCATGCTACCTTATAAGTACGTTCCAACAGCCTTCCTTGGCATTAGGCTTCCCTCATATATTTGAATTGTGAATGTGAGCAACCGTTGAAGCCAACGTAACCTACATCTCTTTGTGATCCGCTGCTATCAGATCTTATAACAACGTAATATTAACTGGCCGACGCGTATGATCGCGATGCGAAGAACTTGACTGGTCTCCCCATTTACCTTACTTTCCCACGCGTCAAATTGTCACTGGCTAGCACAAAATATGTAGCCCAACAAATTGCATCTTCTAAGGGAGATGCTACAAAAATAATTTTTTTTAAAAAAAATGATGTAGTGCACGATAATAAGTATTCGATTTAAAATAAGACTTACTGAAATCAACTAATAAAAACAATTCATTTTCACATCACTTTATACATTATGTTTTGAAAACAAAAAATTGTGTTACATTAATCATTTTAAACTCAGTGAAGTCAAATTATTAGCAGCATCTCTAATGGTTCACTTTTTTATATAAATCTGAGTAAAAAAATGAATCATTTCTCAATTTGATATTAGCTTGCTCCGATGGTTGTTATCAAAGGCAGGAGTCGACCAGCGGGTCAACCGGCCGGTCGATCCGATTAGACCAAAAAATAATACCAAAAAATATATATTTTTTTTCTTTTTGAACTTGTTTGAACCTACCTATTTAAACTGTTTGAACCTTTTTCCGGTCGATCGGTTGGTCAATCGGCCGGACGACCGGTTGGTCGACCGGTGGGCCCACTTGCAACGTTATAGCACAGTGAATTGGTAAAGGCTCACGTAGATTCTCAGTTTGGTGAAAATTTTGCTCCGTTCTCAGTTTGATATCAGTTTGGTGAAATCATTGGAGCAAAAAAGATGACTTTTTTCATCAAATTCAAATTTGATATTGAATCTGATGCAACGTTGAAAATGGTCTTAATGAAGCAAATTAATAGTTTTTCCAAAAAATTAAATAACATAAGGTGTTTGTAACAACTAAAATTACATTTAGGCCTCGTTTGCGAACCCTCCATTTTAGCTAAAATGTCAAAAAGTTACTAAGTCTCCGTTTGGAAAGTGGGTTTGCTTTTTGGCTTTTTGATTTTTTTGACTATTTGAGCCTGGGCTCAAAAGCTTGATTTGGGAAGAGCTTTTTGACTTTTTGGCTTTTTTAACTTTTTTTGTGAGAGAAAAGTGTAATGATTATGGGTTGGATGTGATGTTTTGTCTGTTGTGGCTCAAATAGCCTATTCTGTCTTTTGTGGCTCAAAGAGCCAAAATGGCCCAAATGAGCTCTTCCCAAACGACACCTAAATTAGCCAAAAAATCAATAACCCATACCAAAAAGTCAAAGATTCTATTCTCTCGACTTTTTGCACATCTTTTCGTAAAAAGCTAAAAAGTCATCCCAAACATACTAGTTTTTTAAGCTCATATTTTAGCCAAATAATCAAAAAATTACTAAATTAGTTTGTTCCCAAACGAGGCCTTATTCTAAATGAGACATATACTCCACTAGAACAAATGCAACATTTTGTATATTTTTCTATGATTTTTTTAAATATTTATAGCAGCTTAAAGGGTTTATCAAGGACCCAAAAAAAATAAAAAATAATTTTTTTTTTTCATCTTTAGTGGTTCTTTTTTATTTTTTTAAAAATTTTGTACTTACTTTTTAGATTTGTGTCCAATAGGATCTGAAAACAAGAACTTTTTAAAAATTTTGAAAAAAAAAAATCAACAAAAAAATTGCTAAAAAACAATTAGAAAAGGGGAGTTAAATTTAAGAGTAAATTACACTCTGTCCCATTAGATTTGGTCATTTTCTCACTTTAGTCCTTAAAAATTTATTTTTTTTCTCACTTTAACCCTTTATATTTCAACTCTTTTTCAATTTACTTATAAAACTAATTTATGTTCAAAATTACTCAGAAAATGTTACATGAATTGTCACATAATATAAAATATATTATTATATTAGGGTTTGTATTTGTGTTTGTGTCTGTGTCAAAAGTGTGAGTTATATATAATAAAAAAATGGGCAAATAACCAACACCCCTTCGAGATTTGACTAAAATACGGATTCCCCCATGAAATTTGAGAAATTACATCTCGCTCCCTAAGGTTTATATTTGCATAGCAAATTACTCCCTGAGGTTTATATTTGTATAACAAATTGTCCCATCATTTGTTATGCAAATATAAACCTCATGGGGTAATTTGTAATTTTTCAAACCTCAGGAAAAATCTGTATTTTAGTCAAACCTCGGGGGGATTGTTGGTAATTTGCCCTAAAAAAATTGTTACGTAATTGTCAATGTATTATTTTTGTCTAATTTTGGACATAAATTAATTTTAAGAGTAAAGTATAAAATAATAAAAAAAAACTTGAAATATGAAAGATCAAAATAAATAAATAAATAATTACGAGCCAAAGTAAAAAAAAAAAAAAAGGGATAAAGTGCAATTTTTGCTATTTTAATAATATTTTAAAAATATCTAGATAAAAAATTTGAAAATGGTAGTTAAATAAAGAGTAATGTTAGGGATATCTATCAAAGATTTACAAATGTCTCATATTAGTGTGAATCTAACATAACTCATATCAGACAAATAGTATATTTGATAAAAATTTTGATAGAAAATGTTTTTAACATTTTTTTTCTTAGATAATACGCAATTAAAGCTTGTTTGACATGTATTAAAATAACATTTAGGGGTAATTTGAGATGATCTAAATAAATATACTTTTTAACTTTTTATAAAATATGAATTAGATATGGGTTGCGTTTGAAGTGATATAAGTGATATGATTTAAATAAGATAATACTTTTTAATTTTTTTAAATTATAACAAATAAGATCTTACTATTTTAACATATTATTTTATTTAAATCATAATATCTTTTTATTAGATCACTTTAACAGTTAAAAAATATACTAATTTAACAGTTTCAAATAACTATTTTAATGTGAAAATTGTCAGCAATTCCTCTGCTAATTATGAGTGAGATTATTGCACGTGTCAACGGCAGTTATCACAGATTCAGAGTCCACTCGTCTTGAATCAGCGAGTTGGATTTCAGAGCTCTCCATGCCACAACAACTTCCCTCTCTTTCTCTCTCATAGCCAAGTGGAATCACAGATCAACACCAAAATATATATATCTTACTAAAAAAAAGCCCCAAATGCAAAACCCATTTGATAGAGAAACGTAACGTTGTAAATATAAAAAACACCAACTGCAAAACAAACTCTCTCTCTCTCTCTCTCTCTCTCTCTCTCGCTGTCATACGCCACATATTCTAGAATCTTGTTCTCCGGTTCCATATTCACTCCACGAAAGCTCTGGCACTCGTTTTTGTGGCTTTTCGTGTTTTTTCTTCATTGATGTGGTTCAACTGCTAACTCCACAAGAGTCCACATAATCTGTATTTATTAAACTATATGTTTCTTTGTTTTTTTTAGTTTGTGTGTATCATGTGTTGGTGTCTACTACATAATTTCATTGAAGTTGTTTACTGGGGAGGGTGTTTTCAGTAATGGGTCATCTTTGAATCTTCCTAATTTGGGGTTAAATTTGGTTTCCATGAGGTTTTGAGGAGACCCATCATGGATCTAGAAACTGGTTTTTATCAGAATCGTGTTAAGGTGAGATGGGTAATCCTTTAATTTGTGTTTTCTGAGAAATGGGTTTGCTTTTAATCTGTGTTTTGGAACAAACCCATTTGTGTTTTCTGATCAAATTGTTTTTGTGTTTTTTGTTGTTGTAGAAAGAATCTTGGAGGACAGTATTGATTTTGGCTTATCAGAGCCTTGGAGTTGTCTATGGAGATTTGAGCACATCTCCACTTTATGTATACAAAAGTACTTTTGCTGAAGACATTACACACTCAGAGACCAATGAAGAGATTTATGGGGTTCTATCTTTTGTGTTTTGGACACTAACTTTAGTTCCTCTTCTTAAATATGTGTTCATTGTGCTCAGAGCCGATGATAATGGCGAAGGGGGCACATTTGCTTTGTACTCTCTGCTATGTCGACACGCTCGAGTCAACTCACTGCCCAATTGCCAGTTAGCAGATGAAGAACTTTCAGATTATAAGAAGGATGTCACTTCTCCTGCTCCAACCACTTTTGGGTCAAGTTTGAAATCTACACTAGAGAGGCATAGAGTGTTGCAGAAATGTTTGCTTGTATTGGCTTTGATCGGGGCTTGTATGGTGATCGGCGATGGCATCCTCACACCTGCAATATCTGGTATATTTATAATTTTGTTCTTATGCATCTTGATTGAATTTGGGCTTGTAGTTTGTTCATGTATGATTGATTTGGTTGTTGTGGCCAAATATTTATTTGGTATACTATTCATTTTGATTGAATTTGGCCTTGAGGGTGTTTGTTGTTGTTGGTTAATGTATTGATTGGTTGATTGTTATGGCCAAATATTTATTGGGAAAACTATTCATTCTGTTCTTGTGAATTTTGATTGAATTTGGGCTTGTCAGTGTTTGTTGTTATTGGTTAATGTATTGATTGGTTGATTGTCGTGGTGCAGTGTTTTCTGCAGTGTCTGGAGTGGAGCTTGCTATGTCAAAAGAACATCACAAATGTAAGATTCTCAACCTTTGTCCCCCCTTTGTTATATGAAGTTTTGCATTTTGTTTTCAGTATATGTCAATATCTTCAAGTTAAGTAGGCACACCATAGAACAATAATTTGCAAATCTTTGGGATTTGATTCCATGCCAGCAATTTTGGTTGGTTACGGTAGGAGTAAGTCATATAATGTATTTTGTCCAACATATTCAAATTTTACCGTCTTGAACAGTCTATGCTTCTTTCTTTTCTTTTTTTTTTTTTTTTTTTTTTTTTTATTTTTTTTTGATAGAAGATTTCTTTTCTAAAAGAAATTTAATTAGTCTCCCTACCCCACCTTTTCTTTTATCATTGTTGAAAGGATTACCGAATGAGAACTCTCTGGATTTGGCTTTAATCTAATTTGGGCATCCATACTGAATTAGAGTCATTTGAATAGATAATCCAGAAAGCATGAATAATTTTCATGCAAATGAGTTACCCATCAATTCCAAAAGAAGAACTACGCTAGTAAGACCCCTCAAAAAACTTTGGACTATTATACAGAAAGAAATTGAGAACTAATTTGTTTCTCTGAGCGTATATAAATAATCTGGCCTTTTATGTACTTTATTTCGAAGTTTGCAGTTACAGAATTCTTGAGCAATTCATGATTTGGTAGTTTATTTGGGTGGAGAGTGATGTATTATAGCAGAAAGCAAGAAAAGTTTTTCGTATTGATCATGGTGCTCCATTTTTTTAGATCCCCTGGTTAATTATTTAAGGAACAGTTACCAACTTGACAGAAATGCTTACGATTGCTTCTTACTCTTTTTTAAGTAGTAGGTGAATTTTCAGTTGACTAAAAAACAATTCATGCATCTAAAGTCACAATGTCATGAGTGTGGGTATTGACATCTAAAGCTAAAGGTTTTCATCTCATTAGGTCAGAAGGAAATTTTTTAATGGTGCAACTGCGGTTAGGTAAACAAGCTTTATTATGTTGACTTTGATGTGAAGTGTTTTGGTGGTCTATGTGGTTAATTATTGGGAAAATGCAGAGAAATCTTGCGAGTGTTCTCTGGATGGTGAATGTTAAGATATATTTGAAATGGGATCTTCGGGTTGTTATTAATACCCTAAGGTAGTGTTTGGTTCTTTGGAATGAAGGTGGATTGGAATTGAAGGGTCATTGCTTAGCTTCCTTATAGAATGGCCATTCCCTTACAATGATGAGTGACGATTCCATTTACAATGCACTTTTCATCACACTTTTAGTGAACCAAACGTGAGAATGAACATTTTTATATACTGATCATTCTAGCTTCCTTATAGAATGGCCATTCCCTTACAATGATGAGTGACGATTCCATTTACAATGCACTTTTCATCACACTTTTAGTGAACCAAACGTGAGAATGAACATTTTTATATACTGATCATTCTATTCCAGCTCATACCAATCAACCAAACATAGCATAAGTTATTCAAAACGTATGGGGGAGGATAAGACAAAAATTGAGTATGCATGTGGTTAGTCAGTTTATTGACTATTTTCTATTGTATATACATGATCAGAAGGGTTTTCCACTGTGAAGAGTACAGAATGACGCTCTTTCCCTTTTGCTGGGTGGGATATGTGGTCTGCACTAACTGATTATATCACTGGGACTTGAAAAGGTCGATGTAGAATTTTAAGAAGATCATATGCTCAAAAGTTAAGCAATCCAATGTGGAATTTACATTTCCTCCCTCGGATTGTTCAATCAGTGAGCATGCAGACACTTGGAGGTTGCCATAAATGAGTATAATTGTTGCATGTCTGCATGGTTGGACAGAGGCCAATTTCAACCAAAAAGTGCTTTGTTTCAGGTGCTTACCTGTAAATTTGCAAAGACTAAATGCTAGTGTTTGATATGCGGCATAGAACATGATGGTTATTTGTTTCTTATTCAGAACTTTGGACTACGTAACTTGTGCTGAAGCTTAGATGCCAGCACAACGTTGGGAATAGATAGTTGGAAGATTTAGAAGATTGATTATCCAATGCTTGTGGCTATCCCAGATGATTGATGTCCACAATTTAGTAATTATGCAATTCCGTGCATTTGGAGGAAGATTTTGTATAGTCTAGTGTCTTAGTAGCCAATACACAGCATAACCACTTTTGCTTCCCTCCTGATAGTTTATTGGATTCAATGATTTTTAGCTTACATGGTGTGACAATGATTATGAATGTAAAGTGGCGGACAAATTTGGAAGGTTAACAAGCTGTCATGGCAACTTTTTTTTTTTCCTTCTGTTTGTGCAATATATTTCCTTTACCCTGAATAAGGTTATTATGGATTTTAGAACTAGCTGTGTATGGAACCTTTATCAAGCTGAAGCATTCACTTTTAGTCCTAAACCTTTTGTGTATTTATTTTCTCCTCAGCAATTTTCATTGATCTTTAACTTATCTAAGTCCTTGAAGAAGGCGGCTAGGGTAGACAACAATAATGAGGAGGAACTGCAAGGATGAAATAAGAGATCAAACAGAAAATTAACATTTTGTGATGGACAATAATCATTATGATTCTGTTGATCGTCAAGACAGGGGAAAGAGAAATTGGCCTGGAGTATTCAGAAAGGGGGATGATGTAGGACATAGCCTTTTGTAGGCTGCCCTACATTCAAATATGGTTGGCTGGAAAGTTGTGATTAGAGTTAAGGATGGAATGCAGGTCAAATGGCAAAAGTTTGAGGCCGTTTCGGGTTTGGAATTTAAGGGAATCACTTGCTGGGATTTTTTGGGTGGGATAGAGATGGTTCATCAAGGATTTCAGGGCTACTTCTATGATAGGGTAAGGGTTAGGAGTCCCGCCTCCATCAAAATATAATACATCTACTTAGTTGCATCATTCTCTATTAGCCCGAGTTTTTAGAATAGCCTGTTATATTTCGCCGTGTAACCGTGTTGATAGAATCTCAGTCATTAAATATGCTAGACTGAAATTTCTGCAATACTGGTATTTATTTCTAAAAGTTTGTTGGATATTATTCAATGCTAACCTGATCAGCTCTTTTTTAATGATCTTAATACCAATGTTTTCCATAATGTAATTGCATTTGGATGTCTGATTTTGTGACCGGTTTATGTGTTCCTAGAAGAATTATATTAAAATTTTAAATCATGTGTATGTATTGGTACCGCCTCCTAAAAATTTGATTATTCTGCAGATGTAGAAGTTCCCATTGCATGTATCATACTGATAGGCTTGTTTGCCCTTCAACATTATGGTACCCACAGGGTTGGATTCTTGTTTGCACCTGTGGTCATAATTTGGCTGTTGTGCATCAGTACTATTGGTGTATATAACATTTTTCGCTGGAACCCTCATGTGTATAAAGCACTCTCTCCATATTACATGTACAAATTTTTAAAGAAAACACAAAGAGGTGGTTGGATGTCTCTGGGTGGGATCCTGTTATGTATAACAGGTAAGTGTATGTTTTATGTAATTTATTTACCTCTGATTTTCGACCCATGTTATGAGAAAGAATAGTCCTTTTTCCCCCTCTTTTTTGATTCCCCAGTCCATATCGAATTTTCCAGGGTCGGAAGCTATGTTTGCAGATCTAGGGCACTTTTCACAGTTGTCAATCAAGGTATATTTTATTCAATGTCTGAATTATATGATCAATGGTTTTTATTTTCTGTATTGACTTGGCATGGCTTGTTATTTGTTTTATGATTATACATTTTCTCCTTCATGATGTAAACCTTCCCAATTTTTAATTCTTTGCTAATGTTGTTACCACCTTTTTCACTGTTGCAACCTCATTTCACATTGGCTTCAAGGTGATGATTGATGAATAAAATGTCTATACTACCTATACTGTTATATAATGCACACAACTCAAAAGATGATTTGAACCTTTGTAACACTATTTTCTTTTCCAATAATGCCTGTAAAAGAACTGCTAAATGGTTATAGTTTCTGCTAAACAGTTTTCAAATTTAACCTATCTTCCTCCTTTCAAATTGCCCAAAGATTGTACCTAAGTAGGATGTCACCTTCATTAGGACCCCACATTAGGGACTCTGCTCACCAGCATTAGTATGTCACCATTTCAGAGTTATAAAATCACCTCATATGCTAATGAACAAAGAGTGCTAGTAACTGGTCAAGTACTAGCTAAGAAGCACTGACACGGACACGACATACCAATTTTCAAAAAATGTAAGACACAACATGTGAGGGACACTCAAAATATATAGTTTTATATATTTATTCATATATATAAACAACATCATTCGAAGATAATAAAAAAATTGCCACATAATATTAATTTATATAAATCTACATTGTTTTTCTTTTATCATTATGTCCGAAGTTATTTTATTCAAACTTGTATTTTTTGTGTCCCCCCAAGTGTATAATCATGTCCAGATCTGAAAAATTAAAAAACTAATTATTATTATTATATGGTACATTTGGATGAGTGTCTAACACGTGACAAAAATGGCCGGCACCTGTTGGGAAGTGTCCGATGATTGTCAGTGTCCGACACAAACATGACACGGACACACCACCTCTACTTAGAAGTGTTGCTGCTTCTTAGAGACTATTTTTCACAGCTAATAGAAGAGGCATTTACCTTCAGAGATAGGTCATTTATCTCAGAAAGCTTAGGGTTGATCATATTTTCACTGCCCTTCTGTGGTGATTTCAACAATCTGAGGATATAATTTATGGTTTCCCAAATGTCAAGTTCCGAAAATCACTTTCTGTTTCACTAGATATGATCTCAAGTATGCAAGGAGCTTTCTCTAATAGACTGTCATGTTTCTGCAGATTGCTTTCACATCTTTTGTTTATCCATCCTTGATTCTTGCATATATGGGGCAAGCTGCGTATCTATCTCGGCACCATTTTGATGAAAATGACCCCCAAATTGGATTTTATGTTTCTGTCCCAGGTAGGTACCTTGTTTTGCTGCTTATTGAAGGATAAAGCATATGAATTTTGATTAATTACACTAATGGTCCACAAAGTATAGGTGTTGTTACACTTTAGTCCCCAATCTTTTAATTGTTTCACTTTAGTCTCCAAAGTATGCAATTTATATTTTAGTCCCTGACATCAGCAGCCTTCAAATTCAGTAACGGAAGGGGCATATTTTTTGAATTTTATATAAAATTTAGACAAAATTAAAATGACCAAATATATACATGGTCTCAAAGTTAGCATTTTATAGCATTTTAGTTCTTAAAAAATGCATTTTGTTTCTTTCAAGTCTCCCAAATTTGCACTTTCGTCCCTAACTTTTTAATTCTGTTGCTTTCTTTTGTAAAATTCTGAAAATACCCCTTCTCCGTTACTGATTTTGAATGGTACCGATGCTAGGGATCAAAGTGTAACAGGTTACATATTTTGGGCACCAAAATGGAACAATTAAAAGATTGGGGACAAAAGTGTAACATAACACGTACTATTTGTATAATTAATCCTATTAATTATTGATGGATTTGAATTGACCAAGATATCTCACTCTACTGTGTCAGAGACATTAAGATGGCCGGTTCTGGTTATTGCGATATTTGCTGCCGTGGTGGGAAGCCAAGCCATCATCACCGGAACTTTCTCGATCATCAAACAGTGCTCTGCTCTGGGCTGCTTCCCGAGGGTGAAAATAGTCCATACCTCATCCAAAGTACATGGCCAGATTTACATCCCAGAGATCAACTGGATCTTAATGGTGTTATGCTTGGCTGTTACTATTGGTTTCAGAGACACAAAACGCTTGGGTAATGCATCAGGTATGGCAATAATGGAAGCATTCAAACTATTGTAATAGTAATTTCATTTTGCTTACCTCCGTTTCCAAATTGGATATAAATCAAGGTGAATCATGAACCAAACCGATCACTACGGTTCCAAAAATTTGAGAACTAACTGAACCATAGAACCTTTGGAACCAAACTAGAACCAAATCACAAAAAATGATTTCGGTTTCTGTTCAGTTCTACCCTTCTAGGATAATGTTTTTTTTTTTTCGTTTGAAGTATATCATGCTTATCTAGTTTAATAAAATATTGATTCTACCTATAAAAGCATGCCAAAAAACTTCCATACTTCAAAATTTCAACTAATTTATAAAAAGTGCAAGTACAGATCAAATTGTTTGTATTTATACACCAAGTGCTACATAAATGTATTTATCAATAATACAAGTAAAAGAATCTTCGAAATAGGGAATGGTTCAGTCCACTTCTCTTAAGCCATAATCCAAGACTGGACCATAATTAAGGTTTCCTAATTACTTGGAGCCTGAACCTACCCGTCCTCTCAAAAAATTAGAACCAAACCATATGATTTTTTTTTAGGTACAAAAACCATACGATTTGGACCAGTCCAGATGCCCTCCGGATTTTTTGAACACCCCTATAAATTATAAACTATGGGCTGAAATTAATAAAAAAAAATTCTTTTGTTCTTTTCCCTTTTCTTCATCTTCAATTTCGGTGAAGCATAAGTACCCTAGACTCCTGGTATGTGCATGCAACATATAGGAGAACACATGACATTTTATGCTGCTATTTTGAAACATGCTTGGCGAGATGATAATAATATTCTTGTGCTTGCATATTTTTGGGTTTTCATAGAGAGAATTTGCTCAGCAAGATGAACCGTTGGAACCAAACTAGAACCAGACCATCTCTCTCGCAATATGAGAGTAAGTGGAAGTAAAACTTCATAAGAAATACTGAGCTGAGGAATGCTTGGTGTGTCTTGCCCTATCATTCTGAAAAATGCTAAATTTCAGTATGAATAAATATATCATGTTAATTCACTTAAACCAACTCAAGTTTTTGTAATTATCGTTTTGTTTGTGATCGTTACTAACCTGTTACTTGTTCTTCCTTTTGGATCAGGTTTAGCAGTGATAACCGTCATGCTGGTCACCACCTGCCTAATGTCTATAGTTATTGTCTTATGCTGGCACCGGAGTGTCCTCCTCGCAGTTTGCTTCGTTTTCTTCTTTGGAACAATTGAAGCTCTCTACTTCTCTGCTTCTCTCATCAAGTTTCTTGAAGGAGCATGGGTCCCCATTGCGCTCGCATTCATATTCATGATCATCATGTACGTCTGGCACTATGGCACACTGAAAAAATATGAGTTCGATGACCAAAACAAGGTCCCCGTCGACTGGCTTCTCAGCTTGGGTCCCAGCCTAGGTATTGTACGTGTTCGTGGCATTGGCCTCATACACACTGAGCTCGTGTCTGGAATCCCCGCAATTTTCTCCCGCTTTGTCACTAACCTTCCAGCATTCCACCAAGTCTTAATTTTCCTTTGCATTAAATCCATCCCCGTTCCCCACGTCAAACACGAAGAACGCTTCCTCGTGGGCCATATTGGGCCGAGAGAATATCGAATCTACAGGTGCATTGTGCGATATGGGTATCGGGATGTTCAGAAGGACGATATGGAGTTCGAGAAAGATCTTGTGTGTAGTATAGCCGAGTTTATACGGACTGGAAAAGTGGGTTGTGACGGTATAGATGAAGATTTGGGGAAAGAATGTGAGAAAATGGCGGTTGTTGGAACGCCTTTAACTCGTTCAGAAGGCAAAGGCATTCAAGTGCGTGAGGTTGGAGTAGACAATCCGGAGTCGGCTAGCACGTCAGAGCTCAAGGAGATACAGTCTCCAATTATGAAACCGAGGAAAAGGGTCCGATTTGTGATACCGGAGAGCCCGGAGATTGATGTCGGTGCCCGAAAGGAGTTGCAAGAGCTGATGGAGGCTAGGGAGGCAGGGATGGCATACATATTAGGGCACTCATATGTGAGAGCCAAACAAGGATCAAGCATGCTAAAGAAGCTTGTTATAAATTATGGGTATGATTTGTTAAGAAGGAACTCTAGGGCACCTGTCTATGCACTAAGTGTGCCTCATGCATCTACTCTAGAGGTTGGAATGGCCTACCATGTTTGATTTTTGAGATTATACACGACTTATAGTTAATTTTATGTGTCTTGTACATGTTTACTTCTATAGATCAAAATTGTCTCGTTCAATAAAAGTACACAGAGTAGACCACTTACAACCAATAGGACTCCAACCCATTATTTAGACTATTTTTAGGCCCATTATTGGCCTAAATCGATAATTTGGACCCTACAATTTATAGGTTTATTGAGAAAATCATTAATGCAAAATTTTGTCCAAATAATCAAATCACAGAAATAACGTGAAAAATGGATAATAAATGTAATTTTAAAAATAAAGCATATATTTTTTATTCATGATTTTGTAATCCAATTAGATGACTATTAAATGTTCGATCAACTTGTGTTTTGCATGGATTATTTTTTCTACAAACCGGACAAGATGAACGGTCTAGATTATCAAGATAAGAAGGTTATGAACTCATAATGAAACTAACAACACCCTTCATTCTAATTAATGAATTGGAGAGAAACTAATATTCCATGACAAAAATATATACTTTCGTTTCCTAAGCCAACCAAAAGAGGAGAATTTTTTTTATCTTTTACTTGATTTGCTTTTCTTATATTTTTAAGCTTAAGAACATCTCCAACTGTAGTAGGTATTTTACCTATCTAAATATTACTATAAAGTATATATTTTATTTTGCCTATAAATTGTTTTATGCTTTTACTCCAACCATGCTCTTTATTTTAGCTATTTATCCAAATACTATTAATTTTATAGAATGTCACGTCAACAATAAAGATGGAGGGAAATGATCTAATGATTGAATACATTTTGCCTAGCGTTGAAAGCTAGCTACATGTAGCTAGTGAATATGAGTTGAGCCAAAATGCCTAATCATATGCCTAGTGCATTGGAATTGAAAAAAATGAATCACATTAGGCATTTTAACTAACAAGTATTATATGCCTAGTGTATTGGAGATGCTCTAAGCCTTCGTGCTTGCAAGCTCTTGAACACAAATAAAAGACCAAAACGATGGTTAACTAGATAGTGAGAAAATGTTGAAGTTTGGGCTATACATGCTAAGTAGTTTAATAATTTGGGCCCTACAGGTTTGGGCTATAGATCCATTATGCCTGATTTGAGTGGCATAGGCATGGATATTCTTATGTTCAAATTTAGAAGTAGTTAAGAGCTAGTTTATGGATCAAATTTATTTACCAACTAAGTCCATTAATACATAAATATTTATCATAATGATGAACTTCTCAGCTACAATCATAAATTTATTAATCTAACAAATAAAGCTCACGATTTGATTTGAGTGACATAGGCATGGCTATTCTTATATTTAAGGGCAAATTATACTAACATTTCTGATAGTTTGGATCTCGTATTATTTTGTTATTTAACTTTTTAATTGTGATACATTTGATTTTAAATTTATTTCAAATATATTTAATTTCAAGGGCAAAGTCGTTAATTTGATAAAATATAAACTAATTTGAAAATTATTTCTACCGACCAAAGATAAAATTATGTAAAATTGATAAATCTTTTATACATTTATTTATTTACTAAATTAATTTTTATTATGTGTTTGAATGATGATCATGTAATAGGTGATTGTTAGGCTTTTAATATGAAATCGATATATTTAGGGGTTGTTTGTGATGTTCTAAATACGTGCATTTTTTGATTTTTTATGAAATATGAGTTGGGTATGACTTGAGTTTGAAGTGATGTGGTAGAGAGGTGATGTGACTTAAATAAGATGATATGACTTAAATAGAATAGTGACTTTTTGACTTTTTTTGAAGATGCCCAACCAGGCCTTAATATATGAAATGTTTTTAGTTTTGGATTTTTTTGATTTAATGGATTAGTTTAACAATGATATCAAAGTTATCACCATATTTGACCTTTGAAAAAATAGAAACTAATTTAATAAAAATAAAAACAACCACCCATTACATGATCATCATCCAAACACATAATAAAAATTAATTTGGTAAAATAAATAAATAAATAAATATGTAAAAGATTTGTCAATTTTACATAATTTTATCTTTGGTGGATAGAAATAATTTTTAAAAATTTCAAAATATTTTTTTGACATTTATTTTTGTCAAATTAATTTATATTTTATCAAATTAATGACTTTGCTTTTAAAATTGAGCAATGGTATATTCAATTGTCTTTATTTGGAATAAGATTCAAAATTCAGGATCAAATGTGCCACAATTGAAAAATCAATGATCAAAGTGACACAAGTTCCAAGCTATAGAGACCGTTAGTGTAATTTGCCATATGTTTAAATTTAGGGGTAGTTACGAGCTAGTGTATTATGGATTAAATTTATTTATCAATAAATCTTACTAATACATAAACATTTATCAGAATATAAATTTCACAGTTATATTGATAAATTTATTAATCTAACAAATAAAACTCACAACTACACATAACTAAAAACTAATAAATTTTCATCGATAGAACTTATATATATATATAAATTTTTAAATAAGTCCAATCAATAATATCCGCAAGTAATTATCTTTTTTTTTGTTAATTTGCCCATGTAATTATCCCTAGAAGGGGTATTTTGCACTCACATCCGTGAAATGGTGATGCAATATTTTGAATGAACGGCTGGCATATCCACCCCTAGTTTGTGACTAGTGTTAGAGAAAAGTCATGTTTAATGTATGTATACATACATAAATCGAGTTAGTGAGATTCAATGGTTGGCAATAGGGTTGGCCTTCCCCTTAAGGTCATGCTTGGTAGCTAGGCTAAAAAGAGTTCTCCCCCAACCAGCCAAATTTCCCTTCATTCAACAACATCGACGCAATGTTGGCAAAATTTTAGCCACTATCTGTTTTTTTGAGTAAATGAGCAACTCATGATAGGTTGCTAACCAAATCCATGAAGTAGTATTTCTTGGATAATTATTCAATAATTTAATGTGATATTATTTACATAATGTTTAAATTAAATGGTGAAAAAAATTTACAAATGAGATATGATGATTCATATTTATTATTAAGTAATTAATGAGAAGTTATTTGATAAATTTGACTTAATGCGTGGTTGTATGTCAACCTTATAGTAAAAGGACACACATAATTATTATGTCTAAAACATTGAGAAAAAAATAGAAAAAAGTAGTTGCATGACTCTACAATTAAAAAGGGGACACCACCTAGGATACAAGCCGGACCAACTAGATAATTTATCTTGGTTGAGAGATAAACCCATTTAATGTGTATTATAGTTTTTCAATTATGAGACACGTTACCTTTTTGAATCACAAATCTAGATAGAGATTTGTAAATAAAAAAGTCGAAAGAAAAAAAAGTAGTTACATGACTCTACAATTAAAAAGGGATGCCACCTAAGATACAAGCCGGACCTTCTAGATAATTTATCCTAGTTGGGAGGTAAAGAAAGACCCATTTAATGTGTATTATAGTTTTTCATTCTTTGGAACATTACCGTTGTGTTTGAATTGCAGATTTAGATAGAGATTTGAACAGGAAAGTTAAATGAAGAAAATTTTAGCTTCACTTTCATTCACATTTTCTTTTCTTTTTTTCTTTTATGTTTCTAAATTTATACTCAAATACAAAACTAGATATAACTATTCAAAAATTATTTAGAATTATTATTTTGTGGTTCAGATTTATTATATATATAGATATATAAACGCCACACACTATACAAATTTAATTTTCATCACACAATCACCCCAAAGAAAAATCCCGAGACTTAATTCTTTTTTTAAAGCATAAATGCTATTGAATGAGTGAAAGAGGATGAGTTGTATTGTAGGCCTACATGAAGTGGACCTTTTTTATGGCTGAAATATGATTTGAATCTCTTCATCTTTATCATGTGCGTATTGGACAAGTCATTGTCTTAGTTATGTGGTTGCATTTCTTTCATTCAATTGTATTTGTACATGGCTTCTTTACCAGAAAATGATGCGATGAAAACGAGTTTGGTTTGACCTCGTTGTCAAATTGTTTTATATTTTTATTATATACTCGAATTTATCGTAAGAGATTTTTTTACAAAGAATAAAACCCGAAATCTTAGAGATATTATTACAATTACAATTTCAATATATGATTGTCTGATAATATATTGTAATGTGGATTAGTAATCCTTATTTGAAATTGAAAAGAAGCACCAACCATGTAAGGGTCACATTGAAGCCTATGGCTTGTTTCACAAAGGTTAAAAATTGGGCTTTTTAGATTAAAATTCACAAAAAAATTAAATACGTTAAAATAATTAATACGATAAAATGTTACATCAAATTTATAATTATTTTACTTTTTCTCTCACAAATATTACATCTAACTGCAAAAAAATTCAACCATCTTCCTAAATACAAAAATTTTAACCTACTAGAATAGTCAAAAACTAAAATAACCAATTAAAATAGCCAACTTCCCAAACAAGGCCTATATATATTAGAAAATTTCTAAGTCAATGCAACAAAGATATGGAGGGGTGACATCTACAACAACTCAACTGGGTATGAAACATCTCGTCCGAAAATCAACAGTTGCATAGTCCAAACTGAAATAAACGTAGCCAACAATGCTACAAATCACTAAATTTTTATCATTAATATCACCATTAATGATATAGCAAATAAAAAAAAAACAAAACAAAAACAAAAATTAAGACACAAAACACATGTGGCATCCCTAGGACAACCACTAATTAGTAGTCTGTATCATTTTTCTTATATTAATAATAATAAAATACGTTACATAAAATGATAAATATAAATGGTTAAAACAAATGACAAACATAGCATTGCTCGTTTTATGATTTTGTGCGGCTCATATTGTCTTTTTGCTATTGTTTTTGTCTAAGGTTAAGTTACTTTGGTTTCGAAATTTAAAGTAGTAGTATGAGATTCACCCAAAAAAACAGTAGTAGTATGAATATAATAGGGGATTTGGTGATAGACTCTTCACTGTTTAATTTATCTTTTAAAATGATAAGAATTATATAAATACTTTCAAAACCTGCTAATATTTTAAAACTTGTATCTTTTACTATACTATCCTCATATCTATCAATTCTTCTATTAAGACATCTTCACAATGTATTTCAGAGTAAAATTTTACTT